GCGGCCGGCTCGACGACGCGCTTTCAAAACAAAGAAATTTGGTGTTTCCACAAACAATAGTATTATTAACAATTATTGGATGAGGTTTTTGTGATATGCGGAATTATCAAGGCCGAGGCAAGCGTTATCAGCCGAGCCGAAGGCGAGGCTGATAACGCTTACCGAGACCTTGATAATTTTGCATATCGCAAAAACCGAATTCAATCATTGTTTTATTATACATTTGTTTGCATGTGTTACAGGCGCTCAGCGCCGAGGTGAATAAATCACATATCCCCTCGTTGCCTCAAAATAACGTATACATATTTTCATGTACTTAACTGTAAGAAAGTATACCAATTGCCGACTCATACAGTGCGACTGGCCTTCTTTTTAATCATGCGGAATACCTATTCGCACCGAACTTGTATTTTGTAGGTTTTATATACATTACAGTAGCGAATGTTCATTTTCTTTTGTCAAGATCCACAGTTAAATCCAATCATAGAGAGTCTTTTTAAAGAGCTTGCATATAATGAAGCTTGCCTTCCGGTAAGATTTGTCACTTAACGTATATACTGTAGTGTATCTTGTATGCTCAATTTAAATCTCGGGACGCAATCCTCTTATAAACTCGAAGTGATCAATAAGTTTCATTTTGTTGCAAACATACAGTAACACCAGTGTTGTAAAGGCCCATTTACACGATACGATTAGTTGTATACGATTGTCATTCTGACGAATGAAAACGAGTGCTAATGCCACGTTATTGCTTATTCGCTAATGGCGAAATTTGAAATGTGACGTTTGTACGCGTGTTTATTCGATCACATACGTCAGAGTAAGAATAGTATACAACTAATCGTACCGTGTAAATGGGCTTTACATGTTGGGAGAATTAAATTTTGCAAGATTATTTAGGTGAATTAATTGACGAATCACTGTTGATCGATTCGAAGCCACTACATCAGCTCATATTTCAGGCAGGCCATATTTGAGAAATGACAGGCGAAAACAAATTTTACATGTCAAGCCAAAAATAAAATGGCAGGCGGAATTCTACAAACACAAAGACACAATCGATTTGCAGGTTGCCATTTTCTTATAGCGGTTTGCCGTAACGTCAATCTTAAGGTTCATATACTGTAAGGCAGTTACAATATGGAGGGCAAATACATAAATTATTGATATGCATGAATACAATTAACATTTAATCTTTATGTTCATACCTAAGTGAGACCGTTTTGGCAGTTCAAAAATAGAAATGGCAGACCATAATTTATTTGACCAACAGCAACAACAACAACAACAACAACAACAACAACAAAAATAGTCTAACAGGCCATATGTTTTTCCTATTCCAAGCCCTGCACTATACAGTATATACAAGGACAGCCTTTTTTGAATTGGCTTTATACATATCACCGTCAATGATTTAGTATCGTTATCTAGGATACGTTTTCAGTGTGTTTTACTCTTCTCTCGCAGGTTCTTCAACAAAGATTTCTACCAACATTGGTCAGTTTACTGGAAGTCCCACAAGAGAAAGTTCCTTCCGGTATAAGAGCAGTAAGTAACACAGTATAATCCTCGCATAACCTTTATTTCATCAGCGATGTAGAAGATTGAGCTCATGGGCACAAAGGAGAGATATACCTCATCTGTGTCGTGGGGGAGGCTTGGCGGGGCTGAGTTTTATGTTGATTTGAGGGGCAAAGCTCCCAATATTTTTCAGATTGCATAATCATAACCTGGAAAATTATTTTTTCAAACGATTTATTATTAGTTCAAACGATACGGTAATGCTTTCGGTAATCTGTAACTGATTACTATGGTCCCACCATTGGATCATTTATGCGGCTGCAACATAGCGTCCTATTTTGGAATCATTTCAAGTTAAGTCCTTTCTTGATTTAAAAATTAATTGAAGAAGTGCTAGAACCAGAAATCAATGTTGGAACATCCCTCCAGCAAGCCCCCCTTGTTTAGAGCTTCCCTTGTTAGCATATTAGTTCTACGCCATTGCTTCATCATTATCACCAATTGACTATATATTTATTCTGGGTTTGTTTTACCAGGTTGCGTTGGACATTCTATGTCATATGATTCGCGGTAGCCCTCAGGTGTTGTCAGATGCTCTTATTAATAATGTATTTCCGCCTTTGGTCGCTTTTATTTTGGGTTCAGACGACAACGCTATACTACAGGTACCGTGTGGAAAGTACAGTACAATGCAGTAAAGTCTAATTCAGTACAATGCAGTAATGTCTAATACAGTACAGTACAGTA